TTCACATATATATGTATATATGTATGTATATATATATATATATAAAATTTTTATAGGGAATCACCTTTTTATGGTGGTCTGATATTCATGTTAGTGTTGATATGTAAAATTTTTATAGGGATTCACCTTTTTATGGTGGTCTGATATTCATGTTAGTGTTGTCAGGTGATTTTGGTACATGGAATCAGAGGAGGTTATTTCCTTGTAGCTATCAGCAATTTACTATCTAAAATGTAACAAGAAAAATGATAAAACCATCCAAAAATTTGCATGATGTAGTGTGCATTACTTTTTAAGTTGGTTAATGAACATTGAAGTTTCTTTTCACCTTGTATTGCATTTGGTTTAAATTAACTTGCTTTATTTTTTTCTTACAGATGATTTAATTTCCTTTGGTGTTTGCATGCAGGATGGGTAAGTTATTTTGCTCAAGACATACAACAGCATGTCTCAAGTTAAGTATCATCCTACCTGCTCATGTTTAGAAGAATATTAATATCTGTAAAGTAACCAATCGCCGACTGATCCCTTTATACTGGATGATTGAAGTAGCAAGCATCTAGTTGTGCTGACATAATAAAAGCAAATCAACCAATTACAATTAAGTAAAGATTTAATGGTTTGTTTGGTGTTACAACCATACAGGGTACCAAAAGTTCTATGCCTTAAATAGAAAACAAATAGCTAGGCAAGTACAATCAAATAATTTCCCAAGCAATTTTTTTTTATACAATTTTTAGTTATATCATCTCCTTTTAGCGTTAACTTTTGTTTCGCTCTGTTTTGATATCTTTTTTATCAAGCACAAGACGTGGCAGAGGCGGGCAACCTTGTCAAATATGTTTTCTATCAACACCCATTTTGATTTTTACTATTCAAGATTAAGCTGGCAAAAAATCTATTTGCCTGGGTTATAAAACAAAGCAAATGCTACTCTTTTCATGATTTTCAAATAGATAATTAGATACATCATGACCATTCATGCAGAAATGTACACAATTAAATTCATCATGAGAAGCTACAGAGCTTCTATTAAATTTCATAGATAATTAACATATACTAGATGTTTTTAATTTATATCATACATAATCTTTTTCTTTGGTATACCCAAAACTGTACATCAAAGCACTAAGTTGAATAATTGATCACCTTAGTATGACCCTTATTTTCTCTTTTCCTTTATTTGAAACAATAATCATAATAAAATCTAGTGAGCAAGGAAGTTTTGTTGGATAAACATCTCTTAAACATGGTTTTAAATATATATAAAGAAGAATAATAACTATGATGATCATTTGAACTCACATAATATTATTAATCATAGACATAGCTAGCTCAATGCAATAAATCTTAAATCAATAAATGTTTTGATAATTAAATAAGTAAATGACATTATCATAAACAGTAAACATGAATGTCTGCAAGGAATGAAATACAACAGTCAAGTGTTTAAATATTTACTGCACTATGCTAGTCAAATAGTAGCACTAAAATACTACTTTTGGTTACTATTTTCATTCTTGCTTATCTTAGTCTTATAATGTCATATAGTGACACAATGTTTGTCTTTGTTAAAATCCCATCCGGCTCTTAACACTTGATCTCACAGCAAGGATGGAAATCAGTGGGAGGCTCACCTAGATCATGTCGATCTCTGTTAAATCCCAGTCGTCCCTTGACACTTGATTCAACGACCAGGATGAGAATCTGTTGGAGGCTCACCTGGATCACGCCGATCTCCTTCTATATTTGGGTGGTTGATTTAGGAAGGATTATATTAAGGAAATTATGCATAATTTTGTAGCTATTTGTCTCTTTATTAAGACATGTTGTATAGATCTATAAATAGAGATAATTTTGTATAATAAAATTCTTTTCCCTCTCTAATTTTTTGAATTTAACATGGTATCAGATCCTTCATTGCCTTGGCTGGAATTCTGAGATTTTTACTCCGAACATTTTTCAAAAATGATAGGGAGCGTATTCCGGCTTGTTCGTTCCTACATACGTCCCACCGAGAGGGGGAGAGTGTCTCATTCTGCGGTCTCTTCGTTTGATCCAGAGAGACAAATGTCTAGTGCGTCTCGTCTAGAGGAGTCGAGCGAGAACCCGCTGTCTTTGTGTTCAATCGAGAGAGACGAAATTCTCGTAAACCCCTCTCTCATGCGTGCAACTAAACGGGACAAGAGAGGCATCCGACTATAAGATTCTACTCGTGTTCCTGGGAGCTGATTGAGCGAGATTGCTTTCAATGCTGTGTGTGATCAAGGGCGAGCTAGTTCTTGCATTATGCTTCCTACTCATGTACGTCAGAGCAGCCGAGCAAGTGAGAGGGCTTCCCCTTTCGGTCTTCTATGTGCGGCTAGAGAAGGCACACGAGACCCCTCCCGTGCGTGCCTACCTAGGTGTCGAACTTAGTGAAAAAGAGGATCAAGAGAGGGAGCGAGCAGGAACTGCGTACCTGTGTGCCTAAGCAGGTACGACCACCCTCATGCGTGTGCTAGAGTCAAACCGAGCAAGGAACAATAGGTTGAAGGGCTGTTGTACATTCCATCAAATCCTCCACTTGAAGAGGCTTTTCTAGCCCCAAATTCCAATCACTTTTGTATGTTCCTGATTCGATACCCTCAGATTTGGGAGATGTATGAGAAAACCAAAGCCTTCTAGATAGCAAACGAAGTCAACCTCTCTCAAGATCTCCACCACTAGGATCAAACCCTCAAATCGGACGAACGCCTCTTCGTAACCAACATTCTCTCCTTCGTCACTGTTGCTGGCAAAATCGTCATTGAGAACCTTGCCACTCGGATTTGGAGTGAAGTTAGTTTGCTGGATTCGATGCTTGTTGATGGAACTGTCCTTATATGTGGAGTTGCCCAAATGATGTGCGCAGTGGGAAAGAAGATGGTTTTCTTCGTGGTAAGGAAGTTCACTACTACGATTCAGTGCATGCTTAAGGTGACCGAAGAATTAATGAGCATACAGATGGTGAAGTATGCTACTTCCCTAAGTAGGGAGTCAATCATGGATATCAATGGTGAGGCTACATAGAGATTAGAAGCACTTTATCCTAACCTGAAGGAGCTAGTTCTTGCTAGTACTCCAGGTTCCCACCACTGACCTTCATTGCCAGAATTCTGAGGAATATAAGTTCCCACTCATTGTCGTAATTCTAAGGAATCCAAATTCCCACCACCGGCCTTCATTGCTGGAATTCTGAGGAATACTTGGTCTTACCACTTTAATTAGTCTCTCCAAGGTTTAGCCACCATGTCCATTTAAATCTCCTCTAATAAAAATATTTTTTCAAGAGGTATCTTTTGTATTAATTCTTCTAAGTTATTACAAAATTTTAATTTTGAATATATATTTAAATCTACTTGAGGAGCATAAGTACTTATAATATTAATAATCTTAACATCAATAATAATTTTTAAAGTTATAATTCTATTTCTAATTCTATCAATTTTTATAATATTATTCTTAAAACTCTGATCTATGATCACACATACACCATTTATAGGACGATTCTTACCAGAATATCAAAGTTTAAATCATAAATTATCAACCTCCTTAGCCTTCTTTCCAACCCATTTAATTTCCTGAATGTATATAATATTTATCCTCATATGAATCATAATATCAATTAGTTCCCTTAATTTCCCTATAAAGGAAACCTACATTCCAAGATCCTACCATAATTCTAGTTTCATAGACTAGATTCTTTTCCCACATCCGTCCATGATGTGGGGACCCTTGCCTATTTAACACTACACCCAGGTATTGGTGCAACGACCCCTTGCACACTTCTCATTATATTTAGGTCATATAGCGTGTCGCTTCTAGGGAACGCACTAACATTAACACAATGTATTAAATGATTTATGTCAAGATTATTCAACAAGCTTTATACTCGTTGTCGACTACTTAATGTAACCCTCCACTTTTCTTATCCAAGACTTGGGATCTAGCAATGTCAGTGTTAAAAATATAAAATATCAATCTCATTAACTCCTTAAAGATGAATAAAAATAGTCCCACAATAGTACTATTTTGATTCTTTTTTAAAGACTTTTGGGAGGTTCTTTATGTAGTTAAGGATCATTTTGGACCTTCATAAAGAGTCAATGGACCATTTTGGTCATTTTCTTTCTCTTTATATATTATTTTTTTAGAATGATAGGTTTAATTGTTCAGCTCGCATGCTTCAATAAAGTAAGCTGTTGAAATTCTCTCCTGTAGTTGGCATTGAACCAGATTTTTTAATTAGAAAAAAATAAATAAACCTAGAAGATTGATCTCTATCGCTACCTTCTCAGAATGATAATGTTTGTAAGTTTTGTTATTCAAATAACTATTTTCTTGAAAGCAGATCACATGGCCTTTTCTTGTTTTCTCTCAGGCACTTTGTTCCCAATCTAACTATTGGAGCTCCAGTCATTGAAAGTTTGCGAAAGCATACAAAGTACTATGCATTGGAATTTTATGTGCACCTTTATTTATTTTTTTAGATTTAGAATATTGCTTAAATTAATGAACATCAAACTTTTTTGCTTGCTTCTTTATAGGGCATATTTGGACTGCCATCTTATGGTTACAAATCCCATAGACTATGTGGAACCCTTGGCTAAAGCTGGTGCCTCGGGCTTTACGTTTCACCTTGAAGTTTCCAAAGGTGGATATTCATCTATCTATTTTATTCCAGCCTACACTTTTTGTTTGTTGGTGGTGTATTGAACTTTTATGCTTGGTTTGATACCAGTCATCTTTGATGTTTCTCATTATTTTCTGTATCTCTTGTCATTGATACTTGGTTTTGGTTGTCTGAACTAATTCTTCTTTCCATGTTGTAGAGAACTGGAAAGAAATTATCCAAGGAATCAAGTTGAAAGGCATGCGACCAGGTGTAGCTCTGAAACCTGGAACACCTATTGAAGAAGTTTATCCGTTGGTAAGTTGTACTTTTCATCTTCTCTTCTGAACTCCAAATCCCAAAATAAAAAAAACTGCTCTTCTTATCCAGGATTGTTACAAAATGTGGGACTTTTTTTTAATTCCTTAGTTCCTTGCTATTGCAATTTAAGATGTATTTAGAACCTTTGTTGAATATTTTAATTTTCCATTATCAGCTTTCAACCTTTTAAGTTTTATGCTAAATGTGGTCAATTTCAGTTGCCTGGCCCTAGGTTTTTGATCTCTACGATAACTGTTTGTATTATTCAATTTTTTAACTTCCTTATAATCAAGTATATATTTTTAATGCAATACTATTTCCAGGGTTTCAGAATATTTTGACTCCTTGTCGTTGATGTTTGTCTTACTCTTTATTTCCTTTAAGTTATTTTCCTGTCACATCCATCCCATGACTTTGCAATGGCGTACGAGTTTGAGAATCCTGTGGACCAAATGACATTTGAAGATGTGCATGTCATAGATCTGGTTGATTCCAGTTAACATTCTATTTGGAACTCTGGTCTTTGAAGAAACTGAATGTTTTTGTCTTAAGAGCTGGGCCTTTTGTTTATGTGTTTACCCCTATTTCTAACTTCAAAGTCTCTTAATTCAATTTATTATTATATTTTTAATCATGGTTTAGATCTTGATTCATGAACATACAACATTCATCATTAACTAATTGTCCATTGAATCTATTTACTTCTCGTCTAAGAGAATGGATGATTGAGACTGCCGATAAATGGCAAGTGCTGAGTTATTTAAGTCTTAGCCTTAATTATGATTTCATTTGATAAGCATTGTGCTCAAGCATTGTGGTGCGAGTTATGCAACTCAAATGTCAAAAGTACATTCAAATGGGGCTTGGGATTTCTCTTCGTTAATTATATACTATAATTAAAATTTAAAGTGAATCAACTTGTCATATGTGATAGGAAACACTTGAAGATTTCAAGTAAATCCTATCAATTTCAGAAAAACAGTGAGAAAACTCTTTCAAACTCCAAAAAAAAAAAATCAGAAAAACAAGAATTTTATTGCAAGAACACAAACTAATGGAAGAAAATACTAGATACAATTGATCCTCTATTTGAGAGGAGAATCTATCTCTTCCAAATCTCTAGACGCCGCTAGAGCCCAAAAAAATCAAATTTTAGCCAAATTCCAAATGCCGTAACCCTAGGAAAACGAACTATTTAATGCATACAATTCAAAAAGAAATATCTAAACAACCCCTTTTTTGAAATTTCCCTCCCAACTCCCTTTAAAAATCTTCTTAAACAGCTTTGTGAAGACCAAGCGGTCGGATTCTGCGTACAGGAGGCGGAGACTTTCACTGTTGTTTGCGTAAGCCGGTCATGTCTGACCGGCTAGACCGGTCTAACAATATTCCCCTCCCAAAGATCCACTTTGTTCGTAAGGTGGAAAGACGAAACCATCATCTATTCATTCTTCATTACAAACAGTAAGAACCTGAAGAGTTCAGTCCTTGCACCTGCGCCTCGGCTTATTCCTCTCGTCACATCGGAAGCAGATCCCCTTCACCCTCTTCTCTTGTAATTTTGCTTTTGTGAGCTTATTGAAGTTTTCCCAAGTCTTCTTCCGGCATTCTTCTCCTTTGAAGTCTCCCTAAGAATACCCGGTGCTGGTTCCCTGGGTGCCAAAAAGTTGGTGGTCATCTTGTATGAGCCTCTTGAACTGCTACCTCCTGCTCCTTTTTCCTGGTGCCCCTGATCCTCCATCAATTGAGCTATCTCCATAGACTCTCTTAAGTCCCGAGGTCTCAACACTTTAATTGTTGTGCGGATCTTGAATTTCAGTCACTTCATAAAGTTCCCCTACAGTACTGTCTTTGGAAGCCGATCCAATCGATTGGCAATCTACTCAAATTGCGCATGATACTCCACACTGTCCTCTTATGCATCAAAGCGAAGAATTGTTCGTAGAAGTCTCCTCCCCTACTGGTTTGGAAATGTTCCAACATGCAGTCCTTAAACTCCCTCCAGGTATTGGTTGCCTCGTATCCCTTCATTGGTACCATGCTAAAGCTTTCTCTTCCAAGCACATCCCGGCTGCCATCAATCTTTCCCCTCCGTCAACCTGTTGATGGTAAAGTACCTTTCCACCTTGTAAATCCACCCATGGACATCCTCTCCCTAAAAAATAGGCATCTTTAGCTTTCTCACCCTCAAATTGCCCCCGTTCCCTTTGTTCCCTTCATAACTTCCCCTTCCCCAAGGGGGTGGTTCCCCCCAAGTGTCCCAATCATCCCTTCTTGGTTCATACCCCATCCTTTTATCAAATTCTCACCTTCTCCTCTCAAATTTAGCACCCCTTGGATCATAGCAAACCCCTCCCCTTTCAAATTCAGCCCCCCTTTGGTCATAATTACCCATTTCCCTTTCCAATCTCTCCCCTCCTCTCCAAATCAGCACACCTTCGTTCTTGCCCTACCTCCTCACACCTCTCCTCATACCCTCTGTCTGGCTCCTTTTTTTATTATTTATTTTTTTGTCCGGCTCCTCCATAGGAATAGGCTCTAGGAGAGGTATTCTATCTTCTCCCTTTGAGTCACCACCTATAGATCTCCCCAGTTGTCGGCGTCTTCCTTCCCCTCTGACGACAACATCTCCTCCAGGTTGGAAAATTTCGAATCGAACTTATCATGAATGGCTGAAACATCTTTTTTTTTTAAAATCTGAAACGTGAGTTTGGAGATTTGAAATTTCAGATTTCATTTGTCCAATATCCACTTTGAGGCATTCCTCCAACGCATCCATTTTCTTGGCCGCCATTGATGCCCGAATTTTTGTAGAAAATTCACCAAAACAGCCCACCAAAGGTCCCAAAAATAGCTCTTATACCAATTTGATAGGAAACACTTGAAGATTTCAAATAAATCCTATCAATTTTAGAAAAAAACAATGAGAAAACTCTTTTAAACTCCAAAGGAAAAAATCAGGAAAACATGAATTTTATTGCAAGAGCACAAACTAACGGTAGAAAATATAAGATTGAGTGGACTGGGAGGATGACCAAGGCAATTATGCCATGTCGTGGAGGTAGAGTTGATGGCAATAAGTGCCGATTTGGGTGGACTGGGCGAAGATTGGTTGATGGGGTACAATCCTTCACGGCAAGGTCCGTTGAGTAGAACTTGGTGTGTGTTCAGATCCTTAAAGATGTAACTAGAATGGTCAAATGTTATTGAAATATTGTTACCTTTGGTTAATTGGGAGATAGATGGAAGGTTGTAAGTTAAATGTGGTATGTGGAGTAGTAGAGAAAGGTGAAAAGCTTACGTGTCGGGGTTGATAACAGACCTGCACCTGAATGAGCTATCAGAACCAATCGACCATCTTCAATGGTAGTACCGTCTGGTCCTTGATATGGATTTGAAAGGGAGAGGTTGTCAAGCGAGTGTGTTAAGTGGGCAGAAGCACCGTAATCAAGATACTAGTCAGTTGATGGATGCGCTGATGATGCAAGCAGGGCTTTGTTGGATGTTGGAGGCTATTGCGGAATGTATTGAATATTCAGGTGGTGCTAGCATACAGAGGCTAAGTGGCCTTTTTTGTTGCATATTTGGCATATATGCACTTGAGCTGGAGGAGTTCTAGTGTTGGGATTAACATTTTGAGGAAAGCATCCTCTATTTTGTCTTCCTTGGCCTCTATATGAATATAGAGCAGTTTGAGGATCTCCAGCGGGCGAAAGGCGAGCTAATTCAGTGGCTAGGTTAATCTCCTCACTGACGAGTAATGAATTTAAGGTGTCCTGACTGATCAGTGTGAGCATGGTTCGAATGATGTTTTGAAAGCTTGGTATTGGTTAGGGAGATGTTTAGGATGTAGATGATAATATCCTCGGTATCAACTGTGGAGCCAACTATGGCTATGTGATCTACCAGGGTTTTGATTTCAGTTAGGCATTGGGTCATGGATAGGTTTTTCATAGAGATATTATGAAGCTCATTTTTTAGCTGAATAACCTTGGATTGGTTTGTGGACTGAAATCGAAGTTCTAGTGTGGCCCAAATGGTGGATGTGGATTCCAAGTGAATAATGTAGGGAAGTACTGATGGGGAGATTGTGGAGCATATTGCTGTCGCTAGGTTTTGGTCAGTGAGTAACAATTGGGTATAAGCTGGATTGGGGATGGTATTGCCATCGGATTGCTGGGTGAATCAGGAAGTGGGTATGCAGGTGGAATCCAAGAAACTTGCAAATCCATTCGCTCTCAAGAGTTTGATGATCTGAGAGCACCAAAGTGAGTAGTTTTCTATGGATAGCTGTGTGGGTACGATATTCTTAAGGTTGGACACAACGAACTTCTGAGATGAGGGAATGCTAGATGTATCGGGAAAGATATTAGCGGATGGTTTATCGATTTGTGAGGTAGCGGAGTTTGACATGGGAAGCAGGAAGCTCTCTAGGACACGCCTGCTTTGATACCATGTAGAAACTCAACAACTGATAGTCTGATTGGAGTAGCTTTACATCCTGCTGAAAGATCCATAAGCAGAATCTGCAACCTGCACTGAGAAATAAAGAAACAGAGAAGGCAGTATATGGCTAGTTGTAATTTTCCTTACTATTTACTGTACCGATACATCAGTTTATATATCAGGTGTTTGCTTGATAAGCTTTACACGTGTACAGCTAAGGTGAGAATAGTTTGTTGTATGCGAGTGGAAGTGATTTAATGTGCCATGTGGTTTTCTACAGTTCTGTTATTGGTAGTGGTATTGTGCTCTAATATCAAAGATTGACACCGGAACTTTCTAAGAAAAAGATTAACCCAGAACAACAACCTGCAACTATGTGGAAAATGGTGATTATGGTAATTCAGAGGAGGTTCAAAGATTCTTAAATTTCTACGAAAGAATGGAGACACATTGACACCAATTAAGGCGCCAGCTAGTGGTTCTTGGGCAAAAGAGTCACCATTCTGGCTTAAGGCAGCTAACATCAAATTGTTACCCCTCCTTGCATGAGGCTAGGGGTGATCAACCTGACAAGATCTGTTATGCATTTGTATAACTTTTTAAGCATGTTTGTGCTTTGGCTCAACTGTCATGCATGCATGGACTTCGTTTGATATGATCTGAACCGCTCTGTGAGTTCATATAGACAAAATAGGGCTAGTGGGCTACACTAGTTCAGTCAAACTAATCCAAATTGGACTCTTATTCAATGTCTTGTTGGTGCTTTGAGATTCGTGCACTAATATAACACCTTTTGATCAGATATCCTTTTTTGAACCCAACAATCCTTATCACTAAAATTTAACATAGATCAGATTTCAAATAAACAAGATTTACCGAAAGGAGCGTGAAATTAATCCTTGCATGATTCTTGAACCTCACTTGACTTGGCGTTGCAAAAAAAAAGAAGAGCCAGCAGAATTTATGGTAACTTCTCTTTCTTATGCTTTTCAGGTTGAAAGTGAAAATCCTGTGGAGATGGTTTTGTTAATGACCGTTGAGCCTGGCTTTGGTGGTCAAAAATTCATGCCAGAAATGATGGACAAGGTATGCAAATTCTTTTAGGGCTCTTGATTGGTTGTGCAGATAAAAAGTATATTTAAAAAATTGGTTGATGAGGATATCCTGACCCAAGTTTCATTAGAATAATCATAGAAGTATATTTGTCAATTTTTATATGATGTTTATTTGTCTGATTGTATAAAAATGTCTTAATATTTTATTACATTATCATATATTTCATAGTAAATGTTTTTATGAATTTTTATTTATTTGCAAATTGAAATCACTTGATTTAATATCATTTAAATATAATAAAAATGTCATTTTCTTAAGCCCGTCTTGATAAATATTGGGTTGGGATATCTCGATCCAATTTTTTTCTTTAGAATAGAAAATGATGTTTTTTTTTTTAATTTGAAAATAAAATCTTTATTTTTGATTGATTTTTAAAGTTTTATATAATTGAGAATTCATATTAATTTTTTAACTTTATCTTACCAAATGAATAAATTTGTAAGAAATAATCGTTGTTTCAAAATATGTTTTCTAAGTTCAAGTAACCAGATAAGACTTTAACCACATTTTCAAGCTTACTAGTATTCCATATCCATTAAAATTGTTTGATAATGTCCATTGATTGGTTTGCTTGATGAGTTTAGTTTCCATACTAGTATTCCATATCCTTACTGAAATAATTTTGGCTTATTTGTTTGGGCCCACACAGGTGCGAGCATTGAGGAAGAAATTCCCTCACTTGGATATAGAGGTAAACCAATTTGAAATTTTTATTTTTCCATACTCAATTTGATTAATTATATAATTGACTTTTTCATTAACCACACAAATATGTAACAAAATCAGTTTAATTTAATTTTGTAAAATTTATATTTTAAATTTCCTCTTTTTTTTTTCTCGAATTTTTGCCTTGTCCTTCATATACTAATTTTTTTTAAAGGCTATAAATGAATCATGATGAGTTAAGTACTATATTATTCAAACTCGTTTATCTGAATAAATGAGTTAACATTGAGTTGTTCATCTAGTGTATAAGTTTGCTAACAGCCCCACACTTATTCTATATATAATTGCCCAACAAAAACTCCGTCTATACCCCTACTATTTTGGTTATAGATTTAAGTTGTAAAACATTTTTTATGACGTGACAAAATTTTTGGACTTAATTTTAATTATTTAATTTACCCCACTTTAATTGGAAATTATTTCATTCTATAAATATTTCAAATATTATTCATTGTGATATCATACGCATGTTTACTTAGTCCAGCATGTTTTTGACACGTGGCTTTTTTGCTTTAATTATTATCAAGTTAATTCATATTAAATATAAAATTAATGCTTGTAATATATATATATATATATATATATATATATATATAT